TGGTCAAATACTAAAACTTGAGTCTTATATCGTTTCGTTTTATGATGTAAAGTTCTTGTTTGTCAAGGTAATAACATTAATGTTAAATCTGATAGTATCTTTGAACTATTTAAACAAACAAAAACGCTTCAGTGCGCCCGCACTGGCAACGGTTAACAGGTTAATTTAATTAGCATCTGTCCAAAAAAATAGCCAGGCCTACCTGTATGCGAGCCAGGGAATTCTTGGGCATGTAACACGGCTCTCTTCATCTCGAAGTTGTTATTAATCCACTGAGCTGTGAGGCTCAACATGCTTGTTTGGTTAAGGTCGGAACTCCAGATATCTGTTGTAAAACTGATGTCATTAGCATCGCTGTCGAGTAACTTGTGGACGTGGGTGGCTACGATATCATGTAAGGCAGGCAGGGCGACATCCGCAAAGTAACGACGACTTGGCTTGTCATAGCGGGGCTCAGCGACCTCAAGCATCTCTCTGAAGCCTTCGTCATATCGAGGATCCTCTTCAGACACTTTGAAGAACGACCAGACAGACGACATCGTTGCTCCCTCACCAAAGGCAAAGTTAAACGGACTTTTTTTGCCGCCTCCAGCACATTATGTGACGTGCGCTCGTGCAAAAACAAACATCCCCGCCCCCGCACTCACATCTACACGCACGTCAAATACACAGGAATGATTATCGGCCTGTTCACATCGGCCCTATTTTGACATCGGAACGATACCGATGTGTAAAAAATTGACCATATCGGCCGATATTATATCGGCGGCCGATATATCGTGCATCACTAGTTGGGATGCTCTGGATCGGCGTATACGACAGCGTGTTCCAGGTCCTGCCAATATCCAGCAACTTCACACAGCCATTAAAGAGGAGTGGACCAACATTCCCCAGCCCACAATCAACAACCTGAACAACTATGCGAAGGAGATGTGTTGCACTGCTTGAGTCAAATGGTGACTGGTTTTCGGACCCCCCCCCCCCCCAATACAGTAAAACTGCACATTTTAGAGTGGCCTTTTATTGTGTCCAGCCTAAGGCACACCTGTGCAATAATCATGCTGTCTAATCAGCATCTTGATATGTCACATATAATGGTACATGCACTTTTTCAAGTTGATTGTACTGAAATGTGTGTTGGCAGTGCCTGTACACAACCATCCTATAATGATAAAAATCCATCCAGTGTTTTTGTTTTAATCTCCTTATATGTTTTCCTCTGTCTCAAATTGAGCCGTTCGATTTTGTGACATCACTAAATCGGACGCCCCTCCCACAATTGTTGATTGACAACAGCGTTTCAACACAGACCAGCACTGAGCGAGCTGTCATCATAGTCCGCTATTGTTGATGCGCTGGAGCAGAATGGCGTCTAAGTGATTGTGGTGTTCTGTTTTGAGTACTACATCCGGTTCTGCACAGCGGCTTTTAGATTTACTAAAAAACATACATACAGTTTTGGATACATTCAGTTGAAGGCAATTGTGATTTAACCATTCTGTAATCTTTTGCATCGAGTTTGATAGCAGATCAGCAGCTTGAGCTGCACTGTTAGCATGTACAAAGATTACTGTGTCATCTGCATACATTTGGGTGTTGGCATTAGGACAAACATTTGGCAAGTCATTTACATAGAAAGAAAATAAATAAAAGTGGACCCAAAATAGAGCCTCATTTCACTAGGCTTAAGAGATAACCAGTTTAGATGGAAAGGATCTCAAGCAGACTTGCCTTTCTCGCTCATTGCGACAACTAACCTCTGCCACTCCCAGACCATACACAAAGTAGCCGTAGCAACTTTTCTCTAATTACGGATATGATGAGTAATGCGCGGGTGCCATTTTTCACATGAAAACCATCACAACACTTACAATCAGGGCCTAAAATTAACATTTTCCAAGCACCAAATGACAATAAAAATCTGCATTGGTGAGTATATGAATCAATCCCCAGTTGGCCGGTGTGATAGATGTGACCAGTAAAGGGAAAAAGAATATGAAGGCAGCAGGCTACTGCAAATGCTTGGGGGTTTATTTCCACAGAATGGGGTTACACAAGTAAAGCAAATGTTAACCCAACTGAGGTAAACCAAAGTATTTATAAAGAGAAAAAAAGAAATAAAATCACTTTTACAATAAATACGAGTCACTGCATTTGCCTCTCAAACTATTACAGAGGTTTACTACAGGCCTGTTCTCTCACCGGTTTTCTCACAGAACACCACTAACTCATACAGAAACAGTTAACAAATTTATACATTGGTGGCCAGTACCAATTAACACAAAAAGGGGGAAACGCAGACACATAATGGTCATTACACAAAATAAACAAATATGAAACATCAAATATACACAAACACTTCAAATAATACTGTCAAATGACTTCACTTTATAAATGTACTTCCTATATATAAATAAAAGAAAAGGAAGCGAAATAGTCCTTGGAGTCCCCCGGGGCAGAAACCCGAATGGTTGCAACCATATATATATACACGTCCGAAGTAGACTGTGCACCAGCAAACAGGACTCAGACGTAACAAACAAGCAAACCCAAAAAGAACAGTAAGAATAAACTAAAGAGTTAACTCAAACTCGCAGTTAACTCAAAACGAAAGTTTAAATAAAGTTTATTAAACTAAAATTAGTGCTGCACGATTAATCGAATCGCAATCGCGATGTCAAACCTATGCGATTATATAACGCAAAATGCCGCGATTTTATATGAACACAACATCTCTTCTTTTTTGTCATCCTTTGACTAGTGTTTTACTTTATCCCGCTCTTATTCGTGCAAATGCCTTAAAACCATTTTGCACGACAAGAAGTCAAAAGAGAGCGCGCTGCCTGTGAATGTCCTGACTGTGACTCACAGAAAGACGCGCGCAAGATTCATGCGCATGCACAGACCGCGTGCCAGAATACAGTTCTCTTTCGAGCTTGAACGAACAATAACACACACAATTATGCCAAAATGCCGTTTTGTCGATTATCTTCATAACATAAGAGCAGTCTTATGATGGCCGTGAAGAGTTGTGCTTGTGAGAGAATGAGGCGCGTGTGAGATCCCCGTCTCGGCAACGGCTGCTCTTAAAGGGCCAGCAGCGAATAAAGCGTTCTGTCAGTAAAGTTAATCAAAGAATAAAGGGAACAGAAAATTACTCACTGCTCTTGACTAAAGAAGTTTTGTAGCTTTAATAAGGATTAGTCTATATATAATTTATAATTCATGCAGCGCAGACTGTTTGATAACTTTATTCAATTTCTGTATATAAATCCTCAATCCTACCTGTTAAGACAGGAAGGGCACAGGTAAATATGGCATTTATTATGGGTTTATGTGAGGATTGTTTGAAGCTCACTTAATTTAAAAGCTGTTATTATTTTTTTAAGCCTAATAAATATTTTAAAAGTTGATAGCTTTCAATTGTATTGATGGAATCACTGTAATGTTGGATGGCTATAATTAACGTTTAAAATGTGGGGGGTGTCGTCATTTTTATCCAGACATCAATGGTTTATTGATCATTATAGGTGTTATCAATCATTTAGTTGTTGTTGCTAGTTTGAGTTGAGAAATACACATTAATACACAGAATGATCACTAATCTGTGTGTGCATTTTACTTTAATGTCGCAATATTGACCTCATTAATCGCAAATGACATTTTCCCCAAATCGTGCAGCCCTAACTAAAATAATGTTGTTGTGCCGCCTTTACTGTAAACAAAAATTCCACTGAATAAAAAGACAAACTGACCTGACCCAGGCTCATCAACATCCGCCACAGCCGGTCATATTTTTATGAATTCTAACAATGCAATGTTGTAAGAACATGAACGCCGCTCCAAACAGATGACGGGCCAGTGCTGCATCGTTACATGCATGTCAATTAAAATATTCAAGCGCAAGACACGCTTAAGGGAACACAATTACTCACATTGAAGCGCGCGCCCAGAAAGCCTGTTCTCAGACTACGCACGGATACTGGATTAAGCACCCCTTCACGTCTTCCAGCGCTTGAGTAGACAAATTCACACAAAAATGCCCATCTCTGCGATTTTCCTAGTAAACATAGTTGGTTATGTCTTAAGTGAATGTAAACAGTTTAAAAAAGAAAACGCATATGTATTGTATAAGTATATTGGCTCTCTGCCTTGTGTCTTAAAATGACAGCACCAATATTCATGCTGTCTGTGTTTTTAATGTTAATAAAACCACAAAGGACCAAGAAAAAAAACACACTCCTCTTGAATGAATAACTTTTATACAACTTTTGTAAATTTATACAGTGAAGATTATATGCAGCGTTACTTTAACAGTAGTTTTCAGGTACAGAAATTTAAATTTTATTTAAATGTAGATCTACCTAAAACCTAAAAGCACTGTTTATTTCATTTGTGTCTTTGTTCTGCTGTATTTATTTGTGCTATTACTTGTAATTTGATTATTTGACTGTTTACTTGTCTTAAATAATGTTTTACATTTATATTAGGATGGTAGTTTTAGCTGTGGTATCGCAATTGGAATAGAGAATTGTGAATTTTCACTTGTATCTAAAATTTTGGTGTCATAACTTTCATGGCTGGTAAAAAAAAAATAGTTATCGCATTCGCTGGTAAATTTTCTTAAGTCACCGGCCATTGGCAGATGTGGCATAAAGTTAGTTTGAGGCCCTGCTTATAATAGGCTTACCATGGTGAATCAGGGTAAATACATTCTGGAAGGATTAATGATGTATTGACTCATTTGAATTCTGTAAAAAAAAAAAAAAAAAGTCCCTTTAACATTAATAACAAACTGTTTGATGTTAAAATATATTTAATGTTTCACGATATTGCTGTTTTATTGTATTTTTGACCAAATAAATCCAGCCTTGGTGAGCATGAGACTTTTCAAAAACAATCTAAAGGCAATTGTACTCTATTGTTTTGGTCCATGTGGACTATTATGTTCTGTATAACTCACAAGCTAACCGGTTCTCCCATTTTTTGTGCACATGCAGCTAACATCATCCACGGACACCAGTAACTTTGACAGCTTCCCAGAGGACAATGAAGACCCACCGCCTGATGATAATTCAGGCTGGGATATAGACTTCTAAACAGGCCCAAACACACGTGCACACATACACAGACACAGACACACAACGTCGGCCTGGGATACACATGCTGACCTACCAAACGGACTGAGGGAGAAGAGGAAGATGGATTTTATTACATCATGAATTGAAGTGACTCAAGACCCGGAGACAAAAAGTGAATGTCTTGCGCGAGCGTGTCTGTGTGCGTGTTCACCTTTGACCCTTAATAACCACCTTTACTGTGAGATAACCGAGGAGACAGTCCATTTAGGGAAAAGGCTGTGACCTCAGTGATTTGTTCTTCTCCCTGATTGGCTGTAAACTCTTCATCAATCCGTGTGCAGACTACTCTAAAGAAGACCACACTGTATGTCGCAGGAGTCCCGTCAGACCTGAATGTTGCTCTTAAAGTAATACTCATTCCTTTTAGCACATGTACATAACAGCTTAATATCACTACACCGAAAAACTCACACGTACGCTGGCGTTCCTCACATTTATCGGTTTATCGCTAAAGTGTATCATAATACGTCAATCATAAGACTCAGTTTCACCCTCTTCAAACACAGACATTATAGACGCATCTTCTCGCCTCTCTTTGCTGTTAATTTATTGTTGTGCCAGTTGGCCATTACAGGTTATGATATTCTGAGCCCAGCGCTGGGTCTCAAACGTATCCCATGAAATGATGTGCCTCGAATTCATAGCTCCACTGATGGTGTACTGTATTTATTGTCTCAGATTTATAATAATGATGAGGTAAGTACTGACCACTGTGAACGGCCAGATTTTAAACAGGAACGGACCTGGGATTGGTTTTCCTTTTATGGCCATTTCTTAAACCTGGCTAATTCGACTGCAGGTACAACATAATCCTGATTTGTCCAGAGATTCAGCCGTGTCAGATCATGAACAGTATTAGTGCCTTAAATCATTGGCATTCTGCTACGCTCCTCATGCTGCATGTCAGAGTACGATCCCTTCAGCCCGCTGCTGTCCATCTGTCTAGTTCTTTTTTTTACACAATAAAGCGACTGTTTTAGACACTCCCTGTATCCTCACATGATCTTCAGCTGTCTTTTATACATCTGAAATGTTTGTTCTGTTAAATTTATTATTTTGATCCAAATATAGAAATTCTGTCCTATTTATTCACCTTCTCACAGATGAGTTGAAGTGACGTGAGGGTGAGTAAATGATATTTTAACTTTTGGGTGAACTGTTCTGTAAAGCGGTGTGCTATGATGCCCTCAGTGGCAGAACAATTCAACTCGGTCCAATTCATTCTCGACAACACAACACTACTTCAGGCTGTTCCTTTGTTCTTTAAAACATGCAGTCGCACTTTTAGAGGTGCATGATTGTAAAGTTCAGGGACCTCATCTATAAAACGTACAGATTTGATCTCAGAGCGTGCGTACGCTAAAATCCACACCAACGTTCAGATTTATCAAATAAAACAGTCTTTGACGTGGAAAAGTGCTTAGCACCACGTCATGTTCTAGGCAGCTGTACACACTTTTCCCTGGCTCAAATGTAAGACGTTTCTACTCAACATTTTATAAATGAGGCCCCAGGCCTGGAAATCCAAAGGTTTCTGGATTGATAACTGTGTCTTCTAAATGAGTACACTAGTTAGGTGAATCTCACAAAAACATGAGCAGGTTATATTTCACCCCTAAATCAGAAGAATATAAGAAATTAAAGCCTCCTTTTAGGACCATTAAGATGTTTTACTATTTTTTTTTTTTCATAACCAAGCTTGGATTTGGCTTATAATTCTAATTATTCTACATTAACTTAGATTCTGTTGTATTACAGATACAATATTGTACAATATTACATATTGTACTGCATTAGCTAGAAATACTGATAATAAAAGGAAGAACACATTATTCTATGATCTACAAATGATTGAAATATTTCATTATTCTTTTTACATTATATTAATGAGAATCTGTCTTAAATGCTTTATAATATTATTTATTTTCTTTTGGAATGAAATATGATCAAAACATGTCGTCATGTTTCATGAGATTCACTTATTTCCCTTTGCTTGTCCTCTCTAAACACATCTGTGTTGAAAGAACACATGAAGGACCTCAACATTTACCTTGATTCAATTACAGTTTGTGTGGCATGACCAAAGGATATGGTGATCTGCTGTTTTCTCACAGAAAAGGCCATTAGAGATGCACAGGTCAACCGGCCTGTATGAATTTATTTTTTCTGCTGAACACAAAATTTTGAAGAATGTCGGTAACCAAACAGTTGATGGATCCCATTCACTTCCATAATATTTTTTTCCCCATACTGTGTCAATTGGGCCTAATAACTGTTTGGTTAAACCCATATTATTCAAATTCTTTTATGTTCAGCAGAAGACAGACATTCATACATATTTGGAACAACTTGAGAGTGATAAAATAAATGATGAGTGAATTAAAATTTTTAGGTGAACTATCACTAACACAAGCCAGAGATGGGAGACGCTAAAAGACGGACGCAAAGAAGAGAACACAAACCAGCAGAGCAAATACTGTACCAGGCACAGCAAGCTCAAGCTCATACTCAATCATACGTACTCTATCTGGCTCAAGTACACCTGGCTGCAGCCTGCAGAATGGGGCGGGGTTACACGTGTCACTCCGCCTCATACGTATTTTGATTGGCTCGGTCGCCTTTCAAATTCATCCTAGGCATACATGGCAGGAAATGTGTTCGTTGTCTTCACTTAATGCACAGACTACACAACATTAGTCTACATCCCACACTATCATATTACTCTTGGATCTTGGCTCATTTGAGCGGGACAAGACCAAATCAAATGTGTATTGTTCACTTGACTAAATTGTTAACGGCTTCAAGTTTAATATTCTGGATCAATCGAATTCACAAATTAATCATTCAATGTTATTTGTGAACCAGTTGATTGAAAAGAATCGTCTCAAAAGCTTCGCTCACAAATCGGACATCACTATTGGGTCTGAGAAAATCTTGATTTCTTCACTTTAAAATAATGAGGAACCACATTTTTCCTGAAATGAAGTGGAGGTAAAAGTCTGGTATTATGCTTTCCAATGTAGTGGAGAAAAAAGAAAGTTTCATAATTTAAATAACATGGCAAAAATACTTTGTTTTGCTGTTTTATTTATTTCTATGGTGATACACTTTTACATTTATATGGTGTATATCTACACTTTTAGATATACACATGTATATTCCTGCTGTAAGGTCACATGCAGAGTGCCTCTACTAAACACATGCTGCTGAAATACAGAGAAGCCTCATTTATATATTAATAAATATATTATATCCTCAATGAAGTCTCGTGATCTGTAGGGGGCACCAGTTCACCATTTAATTTCAGAAAAACGCCAGCAATACTAAACATTCATTTAAAGACCACTATCAGTTATAATTTTACACCGACTTACAGTCAATGTCATTTCTATGAAAAAATATGTAACAAACAGGAACATAAAAGTGTCACTCTGTTCAATGTTCTCTGTAAGATCTAATTACGGGGGAAAAAGCGATTAAATCAACATACTGCTGAGAAAAAATAGAATGAAGATTTGTATCTTTAATATTTATAAATAGATCAGAAAAGTATTTGTATGTGTTTTCTACAATGTAGTTGACACCAAAATCGGATTGCTTGGCAAATATAAAGAGTCTTTATTAATGCTATATTAAATTATTCCACTTTAATTTATTTCAATGAAAAGTTTTCCTCTTGATTTCTTACCAACTTGCAATTCAAACTGGTATAGGCCTACTTTTAAATGTACATTACTTAAATATGTCCTCAATGGTGTACAAATACCTCTGCCAATTATCTGACTTATCCTCGTAAACGAAGAATTTATTATCTTTATATACATGGGAGGGGTAGGTCCAAGGAGGCTTCCATGTAGTTCCGCCATCTTGAAAAACTATAATAGCAGAGAGGGACAAAAAGTACTAGGCCAACGCGTTTCCACAGCGCATTTTCGTTCAGAGCCAGCGTGACGTAACTGAAAGCAGCAGAAGCGGAGGAGCAGAGCCGTGAGAGGCGCTTGTCACTGCCCCGGCAAGTTTAAAAGGCTGCATTGCAAATCCCCGTCGCCAGAAAAGTCCATAATAGATCGTAAAAGGAAACGTGACCGGAGATTACAAAAAACACGAGTTAATGTCGGGATAGCTTTTTCCAGGTGGATAGAGCTAATGCAGGAGAAAGATTTCAAAAGAGACGCTGAAGTCCTGCTTTCTTCTCGACAGGTAAGTCGATGTTACAGTCTTAATTACAAGCTTTTTTTCATTGTTTGGTTGTCTACTTTATTTTATAGACAGATGAACATTTATAGTTAAAAGTTGATGATGATATATAACAATGCACATACTTCAGAAAATATAACAAATAAAGAAGGCATAACTACTTATTACAATAGTTCATGTTTTTCACAGTCAGTAATTCATACTGTAACATTTGTTTGTCCGTTGTGTCAAGATGCTGTTTGTTTGAAATAACAAACCTGTTCACCCGAAGGAACACTCGACGAAGTGCTATTAGAAGACATCCTGTCATAGCTTTTTGGTACATAACGGCTACCGTAGATGCAACGCGCATTTGAAAAAGCGAGGCGCTGGAGAGCACAATTCGTTTGAATGCAAAATACATTTTCACCGCCAGATGGGAGAAATTCCTACACATTGTCCCTTTAACATAATTGTTATGATAATAGTTGAACTGTGATATGTCCTGAACTAATGTAGACAATAAGCACTGCATGTAAGTTTAGTGAATCCTGAACTCAGTTAAACCCGTATTTTGTACCCACAGAAGATGCACTTAGTTTCAACGAACAGAGGAAGATTTGTTTTTATTGCCTTAAGTTAGATAAACGTGCGAAACATTAATGTGCACATTTTTCTGTGCTGACAGAAAAATGATAAGGTTGAGGCTCAAGCCCTAGTTAACAGAGGTCTGCTGACAGGTACTGTCTCTATAATGATATCCCTTAAATTCCACTTTAAGCACTTTAAGTTGTCAGTCTGTTTCTGAGGGGGCGCGACGGTAATTACGCACAACTATTGCGAAATTTCACCAATCCCTATTACGGCGAGGGCGTGGCTTTTGAATATTCATTCGGTTACGCAATCGGTCGGTACTAAGCAGCGTCTGCATGGCTCATTAATATTCATGAGCCGGGGATGCTGCGCGCCTCTCGGCAGAAGTACTCCGATCGCCTGCGCAGAGATGAGTTCACACAGCGCGTCTGCGCAGGCGATGAGAGGGGAGGTGGAGAGCATGTTTGATGCACTTATAGTACAGTCATTTAAAAGGGGCGGGAATATACAAACAGTCCCGCATGTATAAAACTCTTGGAGACACATGAAGTGCTGTGGAGTTTGGACATTATGCTTGACATACTGGCAGAGAAGAACACGAGGAACATGCTCTCACTACTCACCGTTGTGACTGTTTATCTCGCGGTTTGGGGAGGAATCACTGCAGATGCTCAAGTCGGACCTGTGTTACGGAACTCCATCAGGCATCTTCCCGCAGCATCCAGTCCGAGTGACGCGGTGAGCGCGAGCCCGCGCGTGACCGGCACCGCAGACAGCGACGCTCCGGCGGTACGTGTTCACAGGATGCTGAAACGCACAGAGGATTTAACAGGACTCAGTTTACATTTAGACTTTGAGATTTTTTTTTTTTTTTATTCTTTTGGAGTTGTATGGCATATGTGTGCTTTTAAAGGAGCTCTTTAAATAAAGTGTATCATTGTGATTTGCTCTTCCACAGTCGCCGAACTGCGCCGCTGATGCCGAGTGCGGGCCCGGTGAATTTTGTAACGGCTCTCGGGGAGTTTGTCTCTCGTGCCGCAGGCGGAGAAAGCGCTGCGCTCGTGACGGAATGTGCTGCGCTGGAAACCGATGCATCAACGGTACAAACAAACCAGAGAGCGTCTTATGGGTTCATGGTTTGTATGAAGACTCATTTTCCCATATCGTGTTTCTCTCTCAGGTGTGTGTCAACCTGCGGATGCAGAAGCTGTCGTCACGGTAGACGCCGATCAACCGGTTGGCAAAACGGATGAGCAAAGTATAACTGTGACACGTGGGCAGAACTTCACACATCCCAAAAGAACCACCATCCTACCAAAACAACAGCAGCCACTGAAAGGTATCACATCTGTCTTTCCTCTCCTGTTTCTTCTCTTCTCATTTCATCTCTTCTTTCCTCCTATTCTCATCTTTCTCTTCTTCTCTCTTAGTTTCTTTTCACCTTTCCTCTTCTCATGAAATTTTCCTTTATTCATCTGACTTTTTAATCTTGTTGGATCTTTATTTGTCTCGTCTTTCCTTTTCTCATCTTGGCTCATCTCTTCTCAGACTCTGTTTTTTTTCTTTTCACCTTGCCTCTCCTCATCTTTTATCCTTGCCTCTGAAATAAATTCTCATTCACTGATGTGCCTTTTAAAAAAGCCTTTTTTCATATCATCTTGTCTCTTGAACAGGTGAGATGAGAAAACTGGAGACAAGATGAGATAAAAAGGCAAGGCAGATCAATTAGGGATTTTATTTCAGAAAAGAGACGAGATGAGAAGAGACCAGAAAAGAATGGACGAGATGAGAAAACTGGTCTCTTCTTATCTCTTCTTGTCTCATCTAGTCTCTTCATATCAAAACTCACTTTTCGTCTCTGCAACTAGATCTGATTTTAAAACCTCCACCTCTTCTACATGCTGCTATCACATGACTCTGGAGGAGTGAATGCTGATGTGATGTATAATCTTGTCAGGTGGCGAGGGTGAGACGTGTCTGAGGTCTTCGGACTGTTTGGCAGGGCTGTGCTGCGCCCGACACTTCTGGTCCCGGATCTGTAAGCCCGTGCTGACCGAGGGACAGGTGTGCACGCGCCACCGGAGGAAAGGGGCTCACGGTCTGGAGATCTTCCAGCGCTGCGACTGCGGCTCCGGCCTGTCCTGCCGCGGCCAGAGAGAGAAACCCGGAGCGGAAAGCCGAAACCTCCACACCTGCCAACCGCGCTGACCCCGCAGAACCGCTCTCGGCTCCACACACACACACAGCACGCGCACGCATGCAGACACACATGCAGTGGCGGCAAAGGAAAACTGATTGCACGGAAGGATGCGCCATTAAAAGGACTGATCGTATTTCCTGGACGGATGCAGAGAAACTGCACCGTACAGATGTTTCTGTTGTACACTCTGCTATTTAAGACTTTTTCCCCTGGGTCATCACAAAAGGCAGATTGCTTTTGTTTCCCTTTATAAGGAACTTCTTATTCTTCTTGCAGTAAATTACTGTATTGTAAATACGTAGTCAGAAATTGCACTTAACACTGAGCATATGGATCCTGTAAAAGTAGCATTTTATGATTCACACGATATTGTAAATGTGCCAGTCATATGATCTAGATGGTTAACAGTACTATTTTTATTTTAAGCAAAGTGTATAGATATTTGTCTGATTAAAATCTATAAATGGAACAATAATGGACTTTTTACAATTCATACTGCCACCTAAAGAAACCACTTAGGGATGTTTTCGTAATGGCATACACGGCTTGCTTTATTCAGCAGGTTACGCTTCCAGCAGCATCCACAAACTTCGACTTAGCAAAAAATGCTATATATTGTGAGTAGCAAAGTTGCTTGGGATAAAACACGTTTTCTAAATTAATAAATGTAAACGTAAATGTGAAAGTGTCCTAATTTCATGCATAGAGCGGTAAAAACAAAAGCTGTCACCGCAGAATATCATTTCAACTTGTATTACAACAAACAAACAAAACAAGTCCACTCACTGATGTACAATTCTGCATATTGTCATTTTTGTCATTTTTTAACATAATTTGTAAGGTCAGGTGGACAGAATATGAAAAAACAAACAAAAAAAAACATCACTCTTAAAGGCTCGCTGAAGTGCCTTGGAAAGCAAAGCTTTGAATGATGCGTTGATGTAATTTCCACTGAAACAGGAAGCTAAGGCGGGACATATTGAATGGCCCCTCCCCCTTTTCAAATAGCCAATAGCGTTTAGTGTTCCTCACAGACTGCAAGTCGTACTTGACAGCACCATGGAAGCGCATCCGAGCGCTGACGTTGGATTCAATAGTAGAGGTGTGAATAAATTCTAGCCATTTCATTCTTAACCAACGCACAGTTGGAAAACGGAATAAATCTCGAGCATTTGAGCAACCGAACACACATCTCCAACCCATATTGCTCCGTGTCGTCTCAACGGACGCTTTGGCCAGGTGGTATTTATATCATAGGGGGCGGGACACTTTAGATTTTGATTGGACAGAAGATGTGATGAGAAGCTGAAGTCCGCGGTGATGTCATACAAATCGGTGATCCATTTTAAGCGGAAGTGAGAGACTAAGTTTTGAATGCTTATATCTCCTAAATGCAAATTATGTAATCGCTCTTGAGCACACCAGCTTATTCATAACCTTAAAGGCAAGGCTAACATATTCATACAAAAAGCTAAAAAAAAAAAACCTGTACATTTTGATTTCAGGGGCCTTTAACATAAAATACTCTACCACATGTTCCAGATGCACTTGCCTGCTTTGTGACCTCATAGCTGAAGTTATCATGGCGAATAAACAAGCTCGGAGCTCTGCTGAAGAGCCGTAATCCTTTTTGTAGCCATATCCCTGTCTGCAGAAAAACACCTGACCACATGAAAGCCTGAATGGGCCCAAACAGCAGGGAAGTACAAAGCCGGCAGGAGGATATCAAACGTGAAGAATCCCGAGGAAGTACAAGAGGATCAGCAGCAACAAACCTTTGGTGTGTCTGGCTAACTTCTAATTAGTCCTGCAGTCAGGCCTGAATTGCAGGTTAATCATAGAGATATCTGACCCTTTAATTACTTTATTATGCAGCCTATTTGGCACGCACACAGCATATAGTGGAGTTTAGAGAGAGTTCTGAGTTCACATAGATAAGAAACTTTATTTGTGCAGTCTATAGTTGATGTCATTAATGGTTTGCATATGATCAATATATTTGCTTGATCTGAAGCTATTTAGGAAGGAATAGTCATGACAGAAGACATTCGCCTACTTTTAGGGTAAGTGTGTACTGTTTTTGTGAAGAAAAGTACACAGCTTTGGGACATACTTTGTCAAATTGTGTCTTTAACGGACAGCTCTGTCGCATAGTTACGTCAAAAATGATAGAATAACAAGACGCGTCACTGGTATTGTTTTGAATGGGGAAAAGTGCAACGCTCAATATAGCGGAATAAGTCCCGCCTTCTAAATAAGAGCCAACTGGCGATTGGTAAAGCCATCGCGTCACTGCAGCTGCTGTTAGAAGCTCCGGTTCCCATTCCCATGGGATGCACGCTTTCACTGCACATTAGCTTGATCCAGCCTGAAAAAGGTATTTTTCTGTCATGATTCGAGCGTTTAGAAACACCATTTATGAGACAGTTGTTGTCAGATTCCATTGGTGATTGCAAATATGAAATTTATTCGTAAGCTTGGCGAACAGTTCGAGATTTTGATGTTTCCCCACTTAAAGAGATAGGAGCTGCACTTGCAAGCCTGAGAGGTGTTTCAAAGATGGCCGCCGAGTGAAATGACTTTGGTTACATTTCTGCATCCTGTCACAGTTTAAACTGCCCCATCAATAATCTTGTCACAGGTAAAATCCTCCTACATTTCTCTCCGAAAAGTTAGGAAATGGAATTGAAGCACATTGATCTGCCAGTTGTGGATGTTTCATGCAGAGACTCCATGTTTGCATAATGATGCATTTAAAAGCTAATGACCAAACATATTACAAAAGTTCACAATGCTGTTGCTGATTAAATATAATGTGGATAACATTGAATAAACATTTTTGTCAGGTTAGATACTGATGATTAATCATTTAAATCCCTTTATCCAAACTTCTCTACATAGGCCTAACCGACGGACTCACATCTGCCATGTTTGTAGTTTAACCCTTTAACCCTCCCGTTTGCATGTCTCTGTTTAAGAGCCGATAGAAACTGAATCCAAATGGCTAGCTCGATAATTATTAAAACCAGAGACGTTACACGTTCAGATCAACCCTTCAAGATGCTCCTGTTGCGTTGTTTTCACCCTCTAATGAGTCTGTACAAATTGCGTAATATGAGTTTACAACAAAAACACTAAAATGCATTGCACGTCTTTGCACACGTTCTATAGATCTGCGATTGATTTACATCTTCCGATGGCTCATAAAACGTTCTGTGCACTATGACCCCAGGGTTTGTCGCATGTTGTGATGTCACTAGCTGTGACATTTGACTCCCATTTGCTGTATATGCTACTCTACTGCGTTCTACTTTCGTTATTGTCTCTTTTTATCATTGCTTCATCATTTTGACTCCACAACGCACTGTTTATAAAAATGAGTGTATCTTACAAATTAATTTATGCAAACAGTCAATTGTGTGTAGTTTTAAAGTGTTTTATGTAAGTTTTTAACATTGACAAGGTTGAGGATTGACATTTATTTCTGTATTTAATAAAATATGTAGAAAAAAAAACAATTTAATTTTTTTTGTTTTTTTGTTTATTGCACTTTTGAGCTATCTACCTATATACTATTGATTTACTACATACATAGCCTTCAAATTTGGGGTGTAAGGATTGTTTTGATGTATGGCATATGAAAATACTCAAAAGAATGACAGCACAGCATGTAAAAATACTAAGATATACTCTGGCAGAATTGTTCTATGGCAGGTCTTAAAGGGTTAACACTTTGTGTTTGTAGTTCTAATCGAATCCTCGTCGAACACGCAATGGGTTGTGGGCAATATTAGCTGTTAAGAGTGAGCACGGATCTGCACTTCAGATTCTGACCAGAAAAAGGAGACCATCTGGGTATCTTAGGAATACTCATTTCAACATATTAGGATTTGGGACAAATAATTCTAATTTCGAATACTATTTAGGGCGGATAGTATGCGCATGGGGATGCAGCGATGATGCAATGTTTGTCTTAAACACTTAAAGGGTTAGTTCTCCCAAAAATGAAAATTCTGTCATTAATTACTCACCCTCATGTCGTTCCAAACCCATAATACTTTCGTTCATCTTCGGAACACAAATGAAGATATTTTTAATGGAATCTGAAAGATTTCTGTCCCTCCATTGACAGTCTACGCAACTATCATTTTTAAGCCCCAGAAAGTTAGTAAAGACATAAAGTAATCCATGTGACTCCAGTGGTTAAATCTCAATTTTATGAAGTGCTTTCTTTGCGCATAAAAAAAATAAAAATAAATGACCACTTTAATTACAAAATATTAATCTAAACATTTTTGAGTGAACTAACATCCAAAAATAATTTGTCTGCCGATTTAAAGTCATTTGTTTACAGACGCAAAATGTTTTATATTTTGTTCTATAATGCAACATTAATTTTAAATGTTATTTTGGGACCACTTTTCACAAATCAAAATCACAAGATCAGGGCTGTTCACATCTCTGCAGCAGCTGGCAAATGTCAGAACAAGACTGCATTAGTAGGGTCATAAAATAGTGAATTTTCCACTCCTTCACGCTCTTACGGCAAAACGTAACCTTTCTCTCCGTCCCTTGACCCTCCTGTCTCGCTCTCCTTCAGTCTGTCTCTCTCTAGTGACAGACACTGTGGCTGAAAATTACAGACAGGCAGATCTGTTTAATGATGTCAGGCGTCACAGATTCGAGGGCTCACGAAAACTGACTATTTTAACTGTGCGCGTGGAGACTAAAGGAGACGGCCTTCACACACACACAAATCATGTCCACTCTTTCAATGTGTAGTTTTGGTTTTCTGAGCTGTTCTTCTGAGTAACTGTCAAAGTTACTCACCTCCTATCTCAGCCAAATGAGCAAATTACTCAGAAACAAGTCCAAACAAAACCGCAGAAAAGCATTTTTTTTACACTGCAGTTCAGATTGCCAATTTTGTGTGCATGTGTGAACATTTTTGTGTGCCGTTTCATGTAAGATATTTTTTTTTACTGTTTGGATACGCTCCTTTTAAAGGGACATTCACCCAAAAAAGCCCAAAATGGCTGAACACTAAGCTTTTAATTGTCTTAACCACAAATTATTGGTCAGGACATTAGCTAAATTGTAAGCAAATGCACTATGATTTAAAAAGCCATTGCTGTCTTGGAAAACCATCAAAGACAGAATGAGGTTTTTGGCAGAATATGGGAAGTTTGAATCAGATTGGTTCAGCAGAGTTGTGTGGAGTGATGAATCACAATGAAACACGAGTTATGCGGTGATGCTCCAGATTGGTGTCTTTGAAAATCTGGTGAGAAATATAATAATAAATGCATCTCTACCACAGTGAAGTATGGAGGAAGAGTGTCATTGTGTGGGAAGCCTTTAAGCTGCTGGTGTTGGTGAGCTACTTCACTGTGAAAAGACATTTAATACTTTGGAGTACAATATTGCAGAATGGCTTGCTTCCCACAAAAGAAAAGTGTGCATCTAAAGAGGAAC